GGCGATCGAATCGGACTAAAACAATCTACTTTGATTGTTTGTGGCCCTTGGATTGTCTTTTGTCAGCCAATCCCATAAGTTCCGGTGGATGGCTTTGATGAAAAAAAAATTGTGACGCCGCTTCTTAGATGGCGTGATACTTTCTCCAAGAGGTCGAGACGGACACGGACAAAACGTTACGTTCGACACTGCCATCGTGAATGTGAGAACAAGAACAGCATATCGTGGTTTATATTCAATATAAAGACTGGAATAAATTTTGGGAATGACGCGATGATGTGGGATCGTGGGAAGATTAGATATGCCGTGAAAAAGGTATATTTAATCGCAGAAATCCGCCTATGGATTTGATTTTGTGCCTTGCACATTTCGCCGAATATCAAACGCAACTTTAATGTTTAGGTACTGACTTTGAGAATATGGTGTGGAGAATTCATGCAGCAGAGTCCGAGATCGACTACAACGCTATTCTTACGGCGGTACGAACATAGTTTGGAGATTATTTTGCCGCATACATTGGGATGTTGATCTTGTTCATTGGACTGTATTTGAGAATACGCAAATATATATTATTGATGAATCTCAAGTCTCATAATTTTACGACGTTGAGCACAGATTTGGCCAAAAGAACGCATCGCAAAGATATTTTTGCTCCGCCAGTCATACCATGACTTATTTTAGGGGGCATACTACTAACTAGGTAGAGAGCGAAAACGATGCCATTATCGTCCACGATATTCGTGATGCAGCGCCTCTGGAGGAATAAAATGTTTGAAACAGGCGACCATGTAAATGATTTAAATGCGTCGAGATCACATAATATAAGGTCAGCAAAAATAATACTTTGAATCCTCGTTCGCGGTCTCTTTGAAGAAAGAACAAGCAGATGCGGGTTGATATGAAGTTGAGCCGTCGTCCTCCACCATATTGATTTCTTCTTAACAAGGCTACGCTATATATCAATAGTGTTGATTATCTAAGTTCCGCAAGTTCAACTTAAATGGATATGAGGTTACCTTGCCGCCACCTCGTCACCGTGCTGCATGCCAATGGGTCGACCATCGACGAAAAAGCGAATTTTTATCAGGCATTTCTAGTCAGGAATATGACAGAAGAATTTCTGTGGATGTCGACTGAATTGGTTGTCAGCACTAAACAGCTCTAATAATGATAAAATTACCATTCTATTATATGAAATCTGGACGACGACAAGAAAGACGCATCGTTGTCTCTGAGGGACGAAGTCTGAAGGTACTTACAAGTACCGCTTTTGCTTTCAAGTGAGGCACGACAAGATAACATGTCGGCGCCATGCGACTTCGATGGAAAAGAAGAGACTCATTAAATAGCAAAGCCAATTGACTTAAGTAACGCAATAATTCCTGTGAAATCCGGCGTCAGTCTTCGTGACAAATGCATTGATGCTCGACACAACCTCGGAAACATGCCACGCGCTTGCATCCATTATCTATATACTCAATTGAACGTGCTGTGCATAGGGTTCCTACAAAAAACATGGATATATATCAACACGTTTGCTATAACTTTGCTCTGTATACGCTAATCATATATTATTACAGTGTAACCCCCTAACTTACATGCGTGATCAACAATGTGCAAAAACATTGGCGAATAAATAGCCAAGGCCTTCGGAATGACAATCGCTCCTGCCTACACCCTTGCGGACACTGATTCATTTGATCACGGGGATTTATGTATATTGCTTCTAAATGTTCATCTCATCTCGCACTCTGTCCGACCTGGGCGTCTAATGACCGACGCGTTATGACGCAAATCTTAGCCTTCATTTTGTTTCGCATTTTTTTCGGCCCTCCATTTTGATCCCTGATGAAAAAACAAGTAGCAACGAAGTCGAAACCATTTTATACGTACATCAGGGATGGCGCTGACTCTGCGGAGTCGACCTACGAAGAATCATAGCGACGTCATCATGATCTAGATAACGTCCTTACTATAATTATTTATAGGAATTAGAGGAAAGCGAGATATAGCACATCAAATAGGGTTTAACAAATCAATCACGGAGTCCGTCGACTTCGATCCCTACAACTGGTATGGTGGGTTGTCTGAAATTCGCTGGTCGCGCACTGATTCCCCTCCTCCGTCACGTGCACGAAATAAACTTCTGCTCTTAAAAAGTTTCTTCTATCACGTGTAGCTAAAATAACATCCGATCCTATACACTATCACCTCATGGAAAGCTTACCGCGAGGATGAGAGAACCGGAAATAGGGCAACGCAGAGGTCTACATCCTTCTCTGTAGACGCTTGTGGATCGATAAACTAGAAGTGAGCCGTCCGTTAGTCATAGAAAGTGTGCCAAAAGAAGTAATACCAGCGTCTCCTTAAATATTAAAACGTCTCGTGAATAGTCACGCAGATTCGTACAATGTTACAGTCGGGCATAGTGCGTTCCCCATCATTCGTATTCTGCGTGGTCTCGATTTAAAAAAGGTGCTGGATTCTGGACCTTTTTATCAAATTTACTGCTAAATTCTGGATTTGCTTTGACTGGATCAGTATTTTACTCTCTTGTTGCCGTCTCCGCGGCGGTATCGTCGGCATTATATGGAACGAAATGGCGCTGTGTGAAAGCTACTCGTAAACAATGATATGTAAGGTGTTTTTGTATCGATCCAATGCAGGATTAGAAGACGGGTAAACAATCAAAAGTTTAAACACAAGTAGCAGAAACAAAAACATATTCTGGGTAAAGTGCATGTGGTCACGTGCTTGCTTGAAAACACATAATGCATGTTCAAAGCCATTAAATGGCGCGGTGATTATGCAAAGTTATTTTACCTACCGAAAAATGGTTCTGAAGGTGGGATCAACTGATCGTCTTAATTATGATCTCGCAGTAAGGATGCTGTGAATATACAATAAATGATGATGTGTACTGTGGAGGACATTATAAACACAAGCGTAGTCACTTCGGCTCTCATACATCGTGCACGTAGCGCTATGTTCTAGCACTCTATTGTGATAACTTCTGGGCAGTAGCATTTTCTGCTTTTCGGCGACCAAATCAAAAAATGCGACGCGGATCATTTCGTATGTGTATCGGTGGAAAAGAAAGTGGCGTGCGAAGAAGTGTCTGTGTGTGAGCTTTCATGATTAATAGGTATAAAGGAGACTGATCCAACATTATCAAAACGAGGGAATGCTTATCTTTGCAATTTGCAACAGCACTTACCAAAATTGTGATACAAGTTTAAATTTTTAGGCACGGGATCTCAAGTATGCGCATATCGCATCGAATAGTAAGTATAATTTGTGCAATTATTTGTTACTGAATACCTCGTTTCATTTTCTCATTTTCTTGTGTTGTTGCTTCATTTTTTTGATGACTGCTTGGTCCATTTTTTCAATTAATGGGTGTAAGTATCACTGGCGAAAACAAACAAAATACCATTTGATTACGAAGTTATAGAGAGGATTTTACAGTTGTTTGTGGTACCCGTAGCTGTTGCTGTAATGCGCGAATGAGCCTGTATACGACGGATATGGGATTTTATCAAGCGCGTGATCGTGTAGACGCATTGCTGCAGCCAGAGAACCATACATGGTTGGGAAAGCGATGCCATCATTAAAAAAGGCAAAGAAGCTAGTGAAGATCTCATTAGACGTAAAGTCGCACTTGGATGCGAACGAGGGAACTAATTGAGTTTAATTATTTAACTGCTCGGACACTACAGTTGTATTCATCTCTGCAAATTGGATTTTACAGGCCATCATCTTCAATACAAGCTCTTTGTGAAGAAGCGACGCGCGCACGAGCGAGCACATCGTCAACATGGCCAATTTAGTATACTTGAATCACGTAGGTTCTCGACGGATAGTATCAAATGTCTTTACTTCATAGGATGCAGATGTTTTTCTCGTATAATTCGACTTTCAGCTCAGCTAGGTGCGCTCTATAGCAAAACGGTGTACGGAAAGCTTCACGCAGCTACATTACTGCTGTTATGATAGAGGTCGTATGCTGCCATCTGTATAATCGATAGGCACCCCATTACACTTTATCCCAGTACGCTTACCCACAGTCGTTGGGACCGCAGCTTGTGAGACTGCTCTGGTGAATTTATTTCTTCCTTGACCACACAATAAGTGCGACGTGCTTAACCTCTTCTGTCATGTGCCATAAGACCTGTTAGCGGCTGTAGCATCATTATTCGCGGTTGCAACCTCCATTCGTCGATAATAAAGAAATTTGATCGTGATTGTTATATTGTGGTATGCTACTGTACGAGGAAGCCTGCGTCAGTCTGCGGACCTCTGTCACAGACTGGATGTATTTCCGTAAACATATAGAGGCGTAACATGCAGCTGATATGGAAAGAGTAAACACGGCCACGACGGCCGGCCAAGCTTTTCGCTTGCCTGTCCTTTTGGAGGAGGGGGTGCAAAACCAATCCCGTGATACTATTGTAATCGTTGGTCAATAGGAGAATCGACGAATACTCGCGAGAGATCGGTTCTCACGATAATTATACTGAAATGTGGGAATTGGGCCTGTAAATCAGTGAAGGATCACGCATAACACATCCGCTGCTGGTTCTTATAACACACTGTAGACAGTCAGTTTCAAATGGTGTTTAGCTTCATGTTGTATAATCGAACACATTGGAGAAAAGTATAGCTGACGACCGTCATTTTACTTCTGTGTCCAACGGTGACTCTCTAACTATATAGGAGCTTCATGAGGCATGCTTCCATCCATTCCGCGACCAGAGGTTGCCGGGCGTATCTTTTGACTTCTCGTTAGCGCAAATCGCCATGCATTCATTGTCTGCAAAAATTGGCTCTCGGGCGAAGCTTGTACTGATTGGCCAATCTTGCACCTCGTTCACGACGAGAATCTGATTCTACTTTCCGACTCCGATTCACAAACCAGAGAAGTACTCGATCGTTGACTTTCAAGTGTCGCCGACCACTCAGACACGACTGCCAGTGGCGAGCGAAACCGATCCACGGCCATGAGCGGCATCGACTGGACAATGTTCGAGGACAACCAAGAAGGCAGTTTTGGCTGGCTACTGCGGAACAACGCGACGGCAGCTACCACGACGAGCGTTGGACTGGCTAGCGGGACCAGTGAAGACCTACATCTTCTGCCGCTGGACGACGTTGAGACGGACCATATGATGACACCGGCGCTGGTGTTTCAGCAACTGATCAAATCAAATGAGTCTGGATGCAGTGATGCTACGTCATCAGTTGAGGAATCAGATGTTACCCAGATGCTCAGCGCGGCGCCGTCGAGGGTTCCAAATCCGGCGGTAAACCGAGTCATGCGCCCTACTGCGGTTAAACCATCCGCTGCTGTATTCTCGATGATACCACATGTGTCAATGGGTCAAAGTGCTCGTCTGGTTGTGGGTGGCAGCTATGAAGAGATGAAAAGCGGACATGATGAAAATATGCCGAAAAAGGTACAGAAAAAACAAGGCGCGAGAATGAAACCTGGTGACAATGCAGCAAAATCAACTGTTGGCAAAGTGCAACAAAGCATGACAACAGCGATGGGAGAAAAGGTCGATGCTGGCAGAAGAAGCACGAGAGGAAAGGTCGCTTTGCGTATTGCCCGAAGCAAGCGACCACAGAAGCGGCAAAAAAGCGACACAATTTTGCCGGCTGTCGTCGTCGATTCTGGCACAGACGACGACTTCGAGAAGAAACAGCTTCGTCGGGTTAAAAACCTTGTGTCGGTAAGAGAATTTCGCAAACGCAAGATGAAGCAGCAAGAGCAAAATGAGGCGCGCTTGCGTCGATTGGAGGCAGAAAATATCGATTTGAAAATGCGCCTTAAGATTGGCAAGGAGGCAATCATAAGTGAGCAGCGCGAGAAGAAGCAGATCAAAGATCAGATGCGGGAGATGCTACAACGAGACGCGAATGAACAAGAGATCGCTCAGTTTTTGAACATGTACAAGGTGACGTACTCGGACTATGGACCAAGACGACGTGAAAAGCTGCACTATCATTTGTCGCGCATTCGGGAGTTGATCCTTCCCACGCAAGTGACAAAGCTGTGTTTGTATTCTGTGGAACAAGGTGTGGATATGCTGAAGCGGGATCACGTAATAAAGGAGGATCCAATGTCTGCGCCTGAATCAGCTTCGGCTACCATGAGTCTGTGGGGAATCTTGGCCGACGAATTGGATGTGTCGGAAGATCAGCAACGGCAGATCTTGAAACGTCGAGCTGCAATAAAGAAAGTGCGTGACGATCTGAGCCACACGTTAAGCATTGTTGAGAAACTGAAAGATGTGACCGATGAAAAGAACGCGGCGCTGGAAACTCAAGTGGCGCAGCTGCAACAGATACTAACACCCTCTCAAGCAACCAGATTTATCATCTGGGTCAAGGAGAACCCAGCGTTTATGTACATGTTGGACAAGCTCGTAGATACTACCCTGCAGAACAACTCGAATAGCACTGGGAAGTGAAATGTTGGATATCTCACGAACAACCTGCTGCATTGTCAGCTTCGTCATCATGGCCGTACATGTTACATCTGTCTTCCTCATATGTAGCCTACTACGCCGGTGATGTAAAGCATGGAATTTGTTGGACTTGTGTTTTGTTTTTACTTCTCCAATGCCGCAGCACTAGACATGTGCATAAACCCTACAACCAAAGTATGTTGCTCTATAAATTTTCATCACAGCTCTGCCACTGGTAACCTGCAACATTTAAGCCACACAGATTTGGCTTTCTGACATACCGGTGTTGCGTTTGGTTTTGAAATCACGCGCTTTGTTTGTGAAACAGCCTCAACATTGCATGATACCATTTACGCCAATATCAAAAGAGGCTTTGCAGGAAGATTCGTTACCTAGCATGAGTTAAAATCAATTTTGGTCTTCGTGGCTGTGTTCTCTTTGCTCTGTGAGCTAGAGTTGAATATGTGACTATAAGGTTGATCCGTGGGCATATACAGGTCTACCGACCCCGGTGGCCGAGTGGAAAAGCACTGTCACCGGGATCGGGAGTTCGTGGATTGATACACGCGCAGGGGCAGCACGATTACACATCGCAGGGGATTGGCTAACAAAGCCGGATATAGTGGGTCGCTCGCGTACCCGAATATATATCAATCCTTCTCTCACTCTCTAGGCATAAACATGTCGAGGTGCTCGATGGTGGAAGGTAGCTAGTTTAGTGATTATCATGGCATTGATAAAGTGACAATCTCGCTTTTGCCACCAGCCGTAATGGCTTTTTAACTATTCACCTACTATCTCGCCTGAATGTCATGATCATAAATAGTCAGTATAAGAAAGTTCCGTCGCTTTAAATTCGTATCGCATTATTGCACACGCTGTGGTCGGTCTGGCTTTGTCGGACGCTACAACGGGAAATTGGCCATCAACATTCCCGTGCATGAGACGATGATCTTGTGCCTTGCAGATGCCGTGCGATTTGCAGCCCCATACTAATTGGACCGCTACAGCGTAGTCGTCACGTCGCTATCACTTACATTGATAGCCCGTGTTATCAAGGTAAGGGAAAGGCAGCGATCAATAACCCAGCCGAAACGAATGATAATCGTCGAGCCATGATAGTCAATACTTATCACTATAAAATTATTATATACTGTCTAGCGGCACCGTATCTGACAAGTGACAGTTCGTTGACAGCACAAGCACAAGCTTGTACTATGGTGATGTCGTTCTTCGTCATTTTCTCATAAGGTTATCGACTGAGAGACTGGTCCACGCTTCGGTTACGTCTACTTGCGATATAATGGACGGATATCCGCGAATACGGACGGAAAATTGTAGATAGCACAATGCAACACCAATCCCAATGCTCCATGTATGTACCACATTGTAAAGTCAGAACATGGGTCTTTTGGCCACTATACATGGCCGTGAGGTACGATTGTGGCTTTCATATTGAGCGTCAGTGAGTCTCGCGAGCTTAGACCGTTGTAATTATGCTTCGATGTGACCCCAGTGCCTAGAATATACGACCACCGAATTTGCTTGGCACTTTGTGTGATAGACAATATCAACAAAGTTTACACTGCGTCACTCACTGTCGAGTCTCAGTGAGCGGCACAGACACGCGCTCTGTTTCAGATTGCCAGCGGTTTAGTACGTTTTACGAGAGAGCATTCGACTACCTCTCTTGCCAGAATCAAGCGTTGTGTCGAAATGAATGTGCGAGTTATCCTACACGTCATAAGAGCCCGTCGCAGTGCATTGACTAGTCGAAAACTTGACGTGCATAGCTTGCATCGCCACTAGCGATACGGTATAGTCTACAATACGGCAGAAAGCAACGAGGGACGAAAGATCGCAAGCCAAATGAATGAGCAAAACAAGATATTAGCGCAGCCAATGTTAATCGCACTGTTTCAGCGGCAGGTCTCGTGTAGCCATCGAATTCGCCCAACGTCATACGAGATGGGTTGCTTCCATCTCACACTGCCATGTACACGGTCATTTACGGGCGCAATCAACAACCTAGTGTCATTTAACAAACGCAATCATAGCCAAACCGCTTTTGGCAGTAATGAAAAGACGTACGGCATTGACTGCATAACAAATTGACGCTAAGTGGTCATTTGCGTCCTTAGAATCTAATAGAAAACAGGACGCTTGTGTTTGAATGAAGATTGCACGTTTCTAGGGGAAGGAAAGATCAACAATTTTATAAACCATGCAAAACGATTAGGTTGCTCCAGAACTAAACTCACGAAGACAGCACCAGCCAATTCGACAACACCGTCACAGCCGTTCCCGTAAACCCGATGACGATCGCTCCGATAAGCAACATCACCGGACCAATCTTCTTGGGACCATGCAGGGGGCCATCCTCGAGCTTTAGGATGAATGCAGCCGGGAGGCAGAAACACACGACTGCAGAGCAAGTGCCGCCAATGATGCCAAAAATCACATTGATACCGGGACAAAAAACTGCTAGCAGCAGCGCCAATAGCACAAGGCTACTTGTGACAGCTGTATGACGCGGCCACGAGTCCTCCGAGTCCGAGAAAAACATCATGTCGATAGTGAAGCGGCATGGAAAGATGTTCAGCGGAAATGCCACGGCCACAGTGAACGTGATTGCGGCTCGGCTGACTGCAATCAGCGTGTCGTCCAGAGGAAAACTTAGGAGAATGTTCCCCTTGTACTTTGGATCCACAAGCTGAGATCCGAAGGCTAGATATGCCACCACCCCGATAGACAGGTAGACCAAAAACGATACCAGCGTCGCACGTTCCACCACCTTGTTCATGCGGCGAATGCACGGGCGCTGCAGCTCCGTGTAAATTGAGAAAACGTTGACCTAGTTGTTACAAAAGTCAAACAACTTAGCACTTGATGTGATGTCAATCTCACTTTTTTTCGTACCTGACACGTGAATGCAAACATGACGATTGGCACGCTAAGCATGAAGTCTGGGCCCCGACTTGTATCAATCGTCCAGGTAACGTCGTCGGGCATTCCATTGGCACTCGCGTACATAATCGATCGAATCGCCACTGCCACAACGAGAAAGATGATACTGAAAACGCCCAGTATCGACGAGAATTGTAGACTGCTTATGTCCTTCAATAAAGACAGCGGAAGCATTATCGTAGCGCACGAAATCGTCATGAGCACCCATCGCTGCGCGAATATGCTTTGCAGCCCGAAACAAAGTTCACCAAGAGGAGTAATAATGTCTCCCAGCGTCACAAGGTACGCAACAGAAATACCGAAACAGAAAATGAGGATGTTGATCTCCACAAAAATCGTTACCTGCAGGTACAAAATAAGTAAGAACTTGTCGAAAAACATGGTGTCTAAAAGTGATACAAGCCGTCAAACTGACATTTGGCCCAAAACAATGCATGGCCACGTCCTCGTATGACTTCAGTCTATGAACAAATAAAGCAAAGCAAGCGTCAGTCGTGAACATGGAATGCCATGTACCATGCTATTCAGCTATGCGTATCACGCCCCCACTTCGTAATGTCGCCTGCGCGAATCAGTAGTCGAATGGTGTACACGGTTAGCAGCGCTGCCAGTACAAGTTGAGCCACGGCAAAACCCAAACCGGACACTGCGACTGCGTATGGCAACGATAGTGCCCCTGCACCAAGAGTTGCGCCAGCCAGATTGAAAACAGAACCGCGAATCGACCCTTTCGACGGAACGATCGATCGATGGTAGGGAAAAGCATCGTTCAAAACGTCTTCCTCATTAAACTGCATTGTGGAATAAACGATACACGATAGTGAGCGCTATGGCGTAGCCTACGTTTAGCAAGGTGTGCCACGTACCCTTCGAGTACCCATCGGTGACATTGAAGCGATGAAAGTTCCAATCCTCTTCAAATTCTGCTGCGAGCAATAGCAAAGTCAGCACTTTCAGAACATCGCGAAACTACTGATAGTTTCTACGAAAACTTCCACCCACACATCCGGATTGGCTTCCATACCTTAAAAATGAGTGGTGTGTAATCCAGCTGCTTCAAGTACGAATCTTTTAGATTTGGCTTCTTACGCACCAACATGTCGCATGGCTCGACAGGTAATCCCGAAGAGGGGTCATAATGATCCGTTGTATAAGCCGAGGACGAGTCGGAGACACCCTTGAGCAGCGGGTCCGAGGCGCCGTCATCGGGCGCGTGCTTCATCGAGAGGATCCGTTCTCGATTGTCTTTTAAAAAGATTAATGCCACGGAGTCTAGTTAGCCAGTAATGATCCAGTATTTTCTCGCCAAAAGATCTGATTAGACAGCTGTTAAATACCCGTGATCGTCCGCCTATCGATAGTGTGCCTCATCTTCCCTGTAACAAATTCGATCTCTGTCACTCAGCTACTCCTCACCTCATTCTTCTTTCGACACAAATTCAAGACCATAGGTGGCTAGAGTATGCTACTAGCTCCAGTCCTATAGTCTCGGATTTTGATTTGACAAGTTTTCGGCGAAGTTATAGGGCCCTATAGTTTGAAGAATTTTATTGATTTTGGCTCGCGGCGAGCCACATTTGAGCGCCCCAAATTCCCCACCTACACCTATTTTCCTCGATTCTTCGCAATGTTTCACGTTCAACCCTATTAACAAGTAGACGAATTTGCGCGAAGGAACCATTTATGCAGTCTTAAAAGTGCAAAAATGACTATCGTCACCCTAAACGGCATTGTATTGCCTGTTAATGTCCTCTATTTACTAAAAAAACGACGCAATCGATTATCCAAGATCATCAAAACCCATAACGTTTTGCAAATAGTATTGCAAAGCACAATAATTGGCAGCAACTTATACGTTCACATCCGTTTACATTATATTGGGACCTTACAATGTGACCGATTCTTCTTTACGGCGTATTAGGCTGCCTTCCTTGTCAGACCATTGCGAAGTATGTCCATGTGCCCGAAGAATTTTGAGAGTGGCGGCTGATGGTGGTGTGATAAACGAATGCGAGGTATTTAAAGACCATGTGCTCGAAGCCTTTTTCGAGCATGGCATTTGATTCTCCCCGGAACATATTAATAAAGGTCAGTTTGCAATGTAATCCAGGGTAACGATGTGATAGTCGCCTTCAGTGATAGTCTCTTACAAAAGCCCTTTTGGCTCTTGGAACTACATTGAGGTTAGATTACACTGGCGGTGCAGCAACTGCCCCCATAACCTACACGTGCCGTAGCCATTTGTTGGGGAACAGTGTGTTGGTGAATGTTGCCTATTCGTACACCGTTTGCTGTTAAGGACGCACAACAGACGTGAATCTTGTGTTCAGTGCGACGGGAGGTTCGTAAAAGGCGTTTTCGGTTTCGAAAACGACGTAATTTTTTTCATTTTTCAAAATTGGCCCACATAAACATTATACTTCTACATGTTACAGGTGGTGCGCACCGTGAAAGTAATCTGACCAGATCGAAAGATTATATACTACAGTATCGCGTACTATTAACCGGACGAAATCTTGCAGTCATTTTTTGTCCTACATTCGTACCAAGGTGATGAGAGTTTGAGTGCTACATTTGGGGCTTCGAAAGCACGAGATAATGATTTGGCAGGACTCTTTGAGCAAGTATGGGTAGTACAAATCGTAAACTAAAACGTCAATCAAAAAGCTCGCACATGTCACCGACGTGGTCTGATATTAATAGAGCACAAAGATTTGGTTACGGGGGACACTCCGAGCAATCGCCACGAATCTGCCGTGCTCAAATTATACAAAACAAAGCTTATAGGTAGACCGACATGTAATATGGATTAAATGTATCCATAGTGAATGAACGCATGCGCGACGTGGCACTGATAACTAAAACGTAAAATTCGTCATTCGTGTTGTCTTGGAGTGACTACTGACCGCAAATTTTACGAGCAATGAATAGAATTTAGTGCGTCAACTAGGAAAGGTTTCTTAACATGAGAGTCATTGAATGATAGGCAATGGCGCGCGATCCTTTCATGATAGACTTTAAGATAAGGATACAATATCATGAGCTTGGCAAGACGAAAGGGCTACGTAAGCGTACCGAATGCAGGGGGGATTATATGTGTACTTGCATTGGAAATCCAGTAACAATGACTTCGTTTGCTGCCAGTTGCAAGACCTCTAATCAACAAGATAGAGCTGAGTCCGCAGATTGAGCACTTGTGTATTCTACAATCGAATGGAGGGTGCAGCATGAAATATAAAAGCAAAATGGGTAAGTGGACTACTGGGATCGCAAAATAAGTAACTTTACCAGCAAAGTGTAAGTGAGTCAAAGGCTAAGCATCACCACTTTACAATGCTATTTGGCAGATTAAGAGAAATGGTTAACAAAGCGTAGCTTCTGAATGATAACATTTTGCAAAGAACGAGATGTACACGCAGAACCGTATGTCAGTATAAGCTGGCTGAGATATATGCTGCCCTTGACCGTAAAGTTGAGACGAGGTGAGCCCGTTCCATGTATGTAGAACCAGAATATTTCAAGAATTGTATTTTACCGAAATATATTACATTCACCAATATGTACCTTGCTAAGTAACAACTGAGAAACGATCTCATTTGAAAAATAATTGGCACCGCTCCACTTATTGGAATATATCGCAAAATGAATCAACAAACCAAACTATGAATCTCTTTCATAGCGCGCTATATTTATTGAGGAAATAGCCACACTACATTTACAAGTCAACACAATTAAGATAAGATTAGAGGAGTACTAGAAACTTTTTTGCAATTTATTCAATACATTTTTTCTTGTTCCTTTGTATCAACGTAACTATTTATAACATAAACCTTTCTCACATGTACAAAGTACGATTTGTTGCGAGTCAACTGCATACATTGTGTCAGTGCAAGTAGATTCTAATGTGTCAGTACAATTATAGAGATATCCCAGCACCACCAGGTAACACTTTGTAATCCGTTCAAAGATCACAAAAGTTCACGCAATTTTGGCACATTTGAGGTAAGGAAGATGATTGTCTCTACGCCTCGCTGAAGGGTTTGGCAATTAAATAATGAAATCGATTACTGACGTAACCACTATCAACGCCATGCTATTAAGCCTACAATAATATAAACAATATTTAACGATGCTTACGTCAATCCAGCATGAACTCGAAGGAACGCAGATCAAGGTAAATATGCTTCTTTTGCAAGGTTCACAGCACGCTGATGTATCTAATAGAAATGCGTGCTTTCGAGTTTGAACTTAAGAGACAGCAGATATTCAAAGCTGCTATTGCCAGGTAAACGCACCTACGTCGAAGTGGAAGCGTAAAGATAGACACCAAACAGTACACAAAAAACGTCGAAAAATACATGTTTGGATGGTTTTAAAGAGAGAGTATGCTCAAAAGGCTTTTTGTAACTTCGACGAAAGAAAAAGTCACTTTAGTCGGTACAACTTGACTGGAAGTTTCAATAACTAGGCCTCGATAATATTTTTCAATCAACCGTATATTTATATTTGAAATCCTGTAGGTCTTTAGGAAACGGATCATAACAGCGTTTGAGCCGCCGATGGATAGTTACAGAGCTCGATTAGATTTCTTGCTACTCACTTAGACAGGCAAAGCTTGAAAGCATCATGACGCTTTGCACGTTTGCTACCTGTAACTTGTAAATCGGCCTACTCAATTTACAAATGCATGTGACTTATTTGGCTTACAAAAGAACTTACACATGGTTTCGTCAAGGCCCATTAGATCCGTCTTAAGGTAAGCACATACGAACAAGCAATAGTATTGGTGAAAAAGGAGAGTTGTAGCCTGATACAAAGTCACGTAAAACATACGAATTTCTGTCTTTCTTCCGAACCGCCAGAATGTCGTCGCTATAGACTAGCTGGCCTCTGTTGCATAATGTACGACCTAATAAGCTCTAAATGATACTACATATTACAGAAATGTGATCGATGTCAAAATATAGGACTTAACACTGATGCATGGAGATTAAGGTTTAAGTCTCGAGTACAACTGTATGCAAAGACCACAAATTACTTAGATCGATCCCGAGAAGCGAAACAATCATGTTGAACAGTCGAACAAAATATTGAGCTTTTCAATATACGGTCTATGTCAGCAGCCGGGAAGAGTTCCATTGATCGAGAAATGTAAAGAAAATACGAAGCCCACTCGTCGATTGCACCCAGCACACATTATTTGTGCGTTGCATCCCATGGTGATGATGATTTATTCCTGATCACATTCAATATCGTATTGGCAAAAGCCATTTCGATTAATGCCTATTTAAACGTGAAGAGTATATTTATTACCTTGTTAAAAATAGTCACCAAAGGGTCGCAGGCTCCAGTATGTTGGCTGCGATTTATCATATATCATATTAACATTGCGCTATTTACCTTTTGTAATGGATTGTTACACTTACGCCATTTGATCAGGCAAATCTATATATTTTTAGACTTAGCTAAATGTATACAAGCACATTTGTAGCTACATGCTTGCAACCAAGACTGATTCTTATTCTTCCTGTTTTTCGCTGATAATAGGGTGAAGATTTGTCATCAGCTAATTGGGCGCGATCTATATTATAGTGCCTTTCGTATAGCTGGTGATGTGGTGGAGTGGTGATCGCTCTTTTGAGGAGTCGATCCCAATTCTCCACTGGTGCCCGGACGTCCTCGGAGGGGGTACTCCAATTATATGTTCTTGATGGTCTTCCTCACCTTGTGTACCCGTTGGTGGGGCGGGTTGCACTCTTCCAGGTGGACTCGTGTCAATGGAAAACTTGACCGTGTTTGAGATGGGGTCGAGGTTCGATCACGGTGTGGAAATCTTCACACCACGATCGGGGTTGGTGTGATCACGTGGAATTCGTCACGCGATCACTTGTATGTATGTGGGGTGCTCGATATGAGTCACCCTGATCTGTAACAGTTCGCCTTGTCCAAATATAGACCTTGAATCGCGAGCCTTCTGACCACTTGAGCCGTCTCGCGATCTTGGGTCCTCAACCACAAAGGATTTCCTGCGTCCAGTCGCAGTTGGAGTGTTGTTTGAGATATCTTGATTTCTGGCCAAACAATCAGGGGATATCACATGATAAAAGTGTGTACATCTTTCCTTGACGTCGGGTGGCCAATGATCTACCCGACGGAGAAGTCGGCACGTGTACTTTGAAGCAAATTGAACTCTGTTTATTGTTAACCAATCAAAACCAAACA